TACATCCATTACTTGTAGAACCACATCCGGCTTCTGATATTCTACTGGTATGCCCGCCTGTGCTGCATGTATGTGTGTACAGTACTCTGCTCTGGCAGACAGACAGACAGACAGACAGACAGACAGACTGGTTACTGTACCCTAGCTCAAAGCATAGCGTAGGCTGACTAGCCCGGCTTCAGTCAAACCCACCCATGTCCCGGCATCTTTCAGAGACTAAACGCAAATAAATTAGACCCGTCAGTGATCCCCTGTCATGTATCTTGGACAAGTCCTCTACACTCACGCCCTTAGAACGCCCCCACCCTCGCTCTCCCCACATGCAAAAAGTCAAAAGGGAAGAGAGTGGGTACGCAGCGCTTGTCCCTGTTCGGCCATCTGCGGCAGCGAATGAACAAGCTCATCGATGACGTTTAGCGGGTGGAGCTCGGCCGGGTCTTTGCAGCAACGGAGCCGGGGACCCTTACCGCAGCCTCTGACGTCACGGCCCCCATTAACATATCAACGTTTTTTTCTTCTTCTTTCTTTTGTAAAGAGGCTGCAATGCCTAATGCCTACTAGCAACAACATACTTGTAGTTTGATGTATCCACGATTCGTGTAAGCCCACAATTCAGACTCCGAGTGAACTTCTAGTTAGATGCCTAATTACCAACTTTTATTGAGTGTTACTACACAATTGTCCAACTTGGACTTGATCCCAACCCAACAGCCAGAAAAGAAACTCTACTATACTGTATCTATCGTCGCCTTCTTTGCGCAGGACGATATTATCAGATGGTTCAATATGGTATAGCTCCATGTCCCGCAAAACAATTGGGCATTTATTTCATCATGCAGAAGCAAGCCCAACCCAACCATTCATTCTCCCCTCTCACTATGCATGTACATCCATGTAATTACCTACCTAGATGCAAGATAGGGGGACGAGCAGGCAGAGGAGAGGGCAAAACAAGTTTCTCGTCTCAGTCGCTCAATCCATCTCTCCACGCCCCATTAATTTTCCAACAGTGACCGGCCGACCCTTTCTTTTCTCAGCTGTGTCCGTCTGTCTCTATACATACCTACATGCCCAATTCTGTACAACGTAAGTAGCTGATTGATTCATTGATTTTGATTTGGTTTGGTTTGGTTACATGCTCCGTACTCCGTAGCTTATCCTGCCCAAGAAACACACCGAGACGAAATGTCACCACCCCTGCTGCTGTTACTGATCCAGTATTGCTACTAGTAGCTAATTACTGCGCCAGCTTAGTACCTACCAGTATGTATTGCCCATTGCTGTCGTTTCTGACTTTTTCCCTGACTCTCTCCAATCCATCCATCCATCATCCATAACCCCAAGCTGAATTGGTACTAGCCCCCTAAATAAGAAGGACCCTGAAGATCCCATCATCGGCGCTTCTTTACGCAGAGGCCAGAGTCCGTGGCATAATCTCAAACGCGGACGACGAGTCTAATTTCTCCGTCGACGTCATTGCTCGGCCCACGGCCGTCGTCATTATCGATGTTTCGGAATCCTTCTGATCAATCCGAGGTCCCTTTCCCTTCCTTATACGAATGGTGCATGTGGTATCGTGAACATGTATGTAATTAAGTACTGTACGACGACGACAACAACGACAACGACAACGACATTACGCACTTTGTGTGAGGCAAAAGATGGGGTCGAAGGGAGGCGATGGATAAGCAGGGCAGCCATTTTTGTCAACGGCTTCAGGGTTGAGTTCAGGTGCTAAAATGGGGCGATAAAATGACTTTGACGGTACTGCACTCTAATTCCTCAGGTACCTGCCTCCTACTGTATACCACACTTTGCACATACATACCTATCCTATCTCTGCTATTCGATGTAAGTTGAGGAACATGACACCCAGAATTCGCCCCAGGGGTCTCTTATCACGGTCATGCACTCGCTCAACTTGTCCAACCCCAAAGAAGGTCGTTTGCACCGCCTCGGAGCGCCGTTGTGAACTGGTGTCTCACAAAGCGGCCAGTCCCATCCCATGCCGTGGAGGTAAATCCGTCATTACGGCGCCGGGTCTCTTGGCTTCCGCGACCCGGGCGCTCACATCTCAGCCGTGAGAGACGTCATATGTCGTATCACCAAAGCCGTGACATGGCACAGCAGCTACCCGGGTCTATGCCACAAGAACCCCTTCGTCTATTTCGGCTGCCAGCCTCCACTGTCACAGCCAGCACTTCGATTGAACGATTTGTACATATGTACCAGTATTTTGGCCATGTCGCGCGCGTCCTTTTTGCCACAGAGGGTAAATTGCCCACCGTGGAGGCTGGACATGGATAGGTGAGTTGATGGATACATTGTTATCGAACTGATCGAGTAATCCGAACCAGCGTACGAATGCTGCAAGTGGAGGATGAGTCCTCCACATGCATCGTCTGTAACAGGGCGCCTTGGTCGGCTATTAGCAATTCCATAACACTAGAAAGATATCAGTTTCGTCCATGTGTTGTAAGCAATTGTCGAGCTGTTGGCAACGCAGAACACAGTACTATACTTATACGTACGTGCCATCAGCATCAGCGACCGATCATTCTTTAATTGCAATGCAACTTTCTTTGGTGACATGACATGAGCTGAAACTGAGATCTCTCCTCCGGTGTCAAACATCCCGGTTTTGTGGCTTGTAATCAGATCGATTTTCAACCAACAAGCAGGGTGTAACGCGTTTAACGAATTGGGGGGGGGGACCAGCTGTAAAAGACAAGGGTTGTTGAATGGAATATTGAGGGGGGCAATTGGGGAATGAAACTGAGAGAATGAGATGGGAATGCGGAATCTGAGCGCAAGAAAAAAAAAAAAAAGGAAATTACCGACCCTGACAAATGGGAGATGGGCAATTCCCTTGTTGACTCCACTGAGCCCCATGAACCAACCTAAGTAATAAGCCTCCATACATTGAATACTAAGAGATGATACAGGTAGTCGCAGTTAAGGTCTTAACAAACTGACTGGCTGACTGACTGAATAGCGATAGATCGAAAACGGATATAGAACCAGTTTCTAATCAATTAATTGCAACTTTGCTTGCGCAATGTCGTATCTAGAGCCGTTCATTTCAGTGTTCATCTCTAGTGAAAACCTTCTAGTTGACTTCTAACAAACCTTCTTCCGCAGCATCAGTTCAGCACGCACCCATTAACACCCATCCAAGACCTCTCGCAAGCTAAACTGAATACGTGCTAAGGCCATCGTCTCATCCACTCACCCATGGATGTCAAAACCGAGGCTCAACCATTTGGACCATATCCTCCGGGGGGAGGGGGGTCCCCTACAGTACATTTCCCCCTAGATACTAAGTACGGATACGTCGTCCCCCTTGCTCAAACCCCAAAAGGACCCTCAGTTCTCAAGCCAACCTAATCTCAATCTCACCTTTCAAAGTTAATCTACCAACACCTTTCTCGACTCCCTCCCTACATTTCCACCCCCACAAAGCTTGTCCGGTCTTGACAATGCCATCGGCTCAATGACGATGCCTCTTGCGGTAGGGATGTACACAACTTGAAACGCCGGTGTCTGCTATTCTAGGTCATGATCGACATGCAATAACAGACCAGGTGCAGGGATGGTCAACCAATTGTTCCTGTCCTTCCTCTCCTGTCCGTTTGCTCCTGTTCCTGTTCCTGTTGCTGCAAATTCATTTGCGTGCGTCCAACAATCGCTGGTACATGCATAGAAGGAATAGGGGCTGCATTACGCGTCTGTGTCTCAAGTGCTCGTCCTCAAGTCATCCACCTTTGCTATCGTCGACTGAACAAATGGCGTTGACGTTGAATTTGACATCTCTCAGTTCTCGTTCTCTCTATGTACATTAGCTCCCTCGGCAATACCGCCTCGCCTCGTTTGACGCAGGCCAGGGTCACCTCTTGCGGCTATCTCGTTACCTGACGGCGAGATGGAGGGGAGTGGGAGACTGTCCAGCCGCCTTCGCGCTTATTGCTGAGCCCCTTTACGATCCTTGCTTGACACAGCACGACTGCTTTTCTCTTTGGCTGCTATCAACTGGCGAGTCATGTTTTGTCCCAAAACTGTGCATTGCCACCAGAGTATGGGATTCTCATAGATTCCCATCACCGTGTAAAATGTTCACCTCTCCCCTGTGTCTCTGACCACGCCATACAATAGACTTATGTGTATCTGGTCAGTTAACGCGGCGCTCAAAAGAATCACTTCATTTGTCACAATGCAAACTTTGGATAGAGTTTTAATCTCAAGTATAATTCTTGTAAGACTGCTTGCACTCTATAATCTGCACCTCTTCTCATCAACTTCATCGTCGTGCCCATATCTTGCCAACACCCTGGTCTGTCTTTTGTCCTGTCAAGCCCCTGGCCCATTAACGACAGATCAGGCTGTGCATGGTTCGGACTGGGTATATCATGACCGTGAAATATGAAACTAATAGTACAAGCCTCCCCCTAAAAGCTCGTCGTGGCCATCTCAGTAATGCCCTGGGCTCAGTGCCTTAGTGTCGAGAGAATAACAGGTGCCCCAAAATAGCGGGCATGAACGATCGCTTCCAAGTATAGCTCAAGGCATCGTGGGCCTAAACATGATTAACGACAGGACCGTAGCTTGGTCAACTCCAAAAACGCCGCGTGGAAGGGTATCGGTAGGTCGGCCCAACATTCCGCCTATTCCCATCCCAAAATACCAATAGTAAACCCCAGAATTCAAGGGCAAAGAACCCCATACACCGTAAGCGATAGACTTGAATCGTATACACCGTCGCTGCCCTCCTCATCCCCACATCCATGAGTTCTCATCCTTTTCTGTCCCATTTCTCTATGCCGCGCTGAGCCGTGTTATAATAATATTTGCAGGTGATAAAACAATGCCATTTGTTGCCAACCAGACGGTCATTTTGATTGTTATTGGGTCGCCTCTCTTCAGGTTCCAGTCTCTCTTACTAATGTCCTGTGCTCGTCATTAAAGTGTTTGATCGGAGGACTTTAGCCCGTCAGAAAACGTCCTTAGTCCGAGTGATGGTCTTCAGAGCCAGCCTCGGAGCGGGCGTCACCACGATGAACCTTTCGGTGGCGTCGAAGATTGGAAACAACTGAGAAATGTCGGCCACATCCTTCTACCTCACAAGCAAAAGCTGCATCTTGTTAGTAGGTGGAGTATCTTCTGAGTGCAAGGGGACGTACGCTTCTCGCCCGTGTGGCTGTACATATGGGTTTGCAAAGAGCTAGGTCGAGTAAATCGCTTATCGCAGACCTTGCATTTATGCTTCTTCTGTGTACTGGACGAAACCTTAGAGCTAAACTGGCCCATCATGGACTGGGGGGCAGGCGGGATTTGTGAACCCATGAGGCCCTGAGGTCGGGGTAGGGTCCTCGAAGACACAGACTCAATATCAGAACCCGCAGTTGAGTAATCAGAAACGGAGTCGCCATAGTAAGAGCTAAAGTTACCACTGGAAGAGATAGAAGAGCTAGTTGAATGGGTAGAAGGGAATCCATAGGAATCAACAGAGGATCGATCACTTCGCGCGCCATAGATAGGCCGAGGTGTCTCCTGGCTCATAGCCAACATGCCATGGCTAGCATCGAGAGCATCGGCAAAGCTCCTCCGTTCATCCTGGATGCTACTGCCCCCTAGCGTCAGTAAGGGATAGTTCCGTCAGATTGAGTATACTTACTGTTGGGAGTACCTTCTGGCGTGCTCATCAGCCGGAGCGAGTCCAAAGGGTGGAGGGCGCACGGGAGCTGGTGCGTAGCCCAGCGTGTCATACGGGGCAGCTGATGTAGGCGCAAATTGGTGGTTGACAGGAGAGGCAGATGTAGTGTAAGTGGGATCTCCATAAGCCGCAGATGTTGTTTGCATTCTGTTAATGCTAAGAAGATCTGCGTGGTCTTGTTAGTTAATTGATCATATACAATCGATACAAGCATCTTAAACTTACCCGCAGATGTGTTGGGGACAGGCATCGCGCCTCCGTATGAAGCCATTGAAGAAGTGCTACTAGTGCTCGCACGACTTTGGGGTGGTTTTCCGGCCATGATGCTTGGGTTGAGTGCAGGTTGGCTACCAACAAAGAGACTGCTTCCCGTAGGGGGATGCTGTGATGGTGAAGATGAGGACCATGGATTCGAGAATGCAGGCGGTTGTGCAGGCGCTGAATAGTCGAAATTCAACGAAGGCCCAAACCGCTGCTGAGTGGTGTCGAGCGTCATGGTCATGTTGGTACGTGATAGTGGTGATGTGAAGTGTAGAGGTTGGTGGGCAATATCAACATAGATCGGTGGGCAGAAGCGCGGTAGAGGGGGGAAAAGGTTTGTTGATCAGATGCGGGATCCTAACTAGAATAAAAGCCAAGTCGGTGATACAGATCAGAGACAGAAGATCCCGTCCAGGTTGGAGATGATATGGGGAGTTGGGTCGGGGCCAAGGTGGGATCAGCGAAGTCTTAAGTGTCTGGGTGCGAATTGACGTGCGTCAATCTTCCTCTGGAAACGGGCTGGGCTGCGGGAGAAGAGTGGAGTTCCCCCGTCTCTGAAAGAAAAAAAAGGTGTGACGACTCTGGTCTAAGTGATCGGCAGGCCGACGTCTTTTCACAATGGCTGAGGCAACAGGGTTAGTGCGATGAGGTAGGGTCGTAGGACCAAGTAGCCAGGTCAAGCAGCAAACCAGGGGGTTGTGGGCTGCATAAGATGATGGAGACAGTCTATAGTCCACAAGTCGACTTGACTTGACTTGACTTGACTTGACAGTCCACGGCACCCAAATAGTAGCGTCCGCGGTGCCAGACGGCGCAAAGATCAGCGACTTTTCAAGAGATTTGGATCAGAAATCCTGGAAGAAACCCTCAAGTCTACCAATGCCAGGCCAGAGATGAGGTAGATTCATGAGACTGAAGAAAAAAATGCATGAACATCTGCTATGATGGCATCAATAAATTTGAGCATGGAATACTCAAGATCCTCAAAACAATTGATTATTCAAGTAGCAGTTCAAGGTCTGATCCTACCAAGTTGAGCACCAAAAACCGCTAACTTGTTCTTCTGTCCGGAGGGGGTGCGTCGATGGCAGATGAGAAGGATTACGGGGTACACAAGGAGGCATAGGATGTCTATGGAGAGGGGTGTGCTTATAGCTGAAGACTGACAAGAGAACAGACAAGTGAAGGTGGGTAAGGCTACGGACGGCAGTTTGCAAAGGGACCCCCGCTATCCAAGCACTCACGAACGCCACTGATGTGGAGGGTCTGAGATGAATTGCAAGGCAGTGGAGCACCTTGGGTACGTATTGGACTGGGAATTGAGGTGGACGACAGACAGGTCGGGATCATAATATGCAGGGTCTGCAAGCCAAATGAAAGCGTGCCTGTAGGTGACTTGTTGCGACGCGGGCGGCGGGTGGGAATCGAGGGTCCCTCAAGCCACTCAACGGCAGCATCGAGGGATCCGCATAGGCTTGTCTAGTGTTGTGGGAATGGATTTCAGAGAGCTTCTTGTTGAGTGGATTTTTATTCGAGTGGGCGTTGTCGAGTCGTGCGCTTGGTCATGGGGAATGACCAGGGATCCCAGGTCAACAAGCAATGCCAAGGGTGGGAAGAGGAGCCCAAGACGTACCAGATACTTGACAAGAGCTACAGCCGCCAAAAGCTCCACGGGAGGCGTCGGCCACAAGACGCCCTTGTCGCGGAAGGGTGTTTACCCATGAGAGCCCTGACGTAAGGTACGTCAGGAAGCAACTCCAGCAAGTGTGGGTGGAACTCACAAACGAGACAAGAAACGCCAGGAACGCGAGACGGTGAAGGAATTGAAACAGCCTTTGAAGTCGACGCTAGGAGCATGCCATGCCATCGCATTGCCTTGACGTTGACATTGATATTGCTCATCCGCCAAACCGTGGGCATGCACGATAACTTACCGCACGGTGGAGGGTGACAAAAGAGCATTGACATCAACGGTCCAGGATAGCCTGGCATATGATGGCAACTGACTGACGTTGTGAACCCTTGAAAGATGCCACAGGGCTCTGGCAAGGGCAGAAACAGTCCATCACTGACAAGGCCATGCAAGACCGAACGAACGAACGACAAGACCCTGAGAACCTCTGGCATCGCCGTCATCATACTGCTCCAAAAACGAGGTGGGACGGCGTCGCTCTCACTCTCACTGGAAAAGGGCACGGAGAGCCACCATGACCCCCAAAAGTGGTATTGCAGTGATGCCATGACTGCACGTCGCGAGTCGGCTTTGTTTCCCTAGTACGGAGTTCCAAATGTCACCTACAGTTTTTTTCCACCTGCCCTGTTGCGCCGTCCTTCAACCCTCGTGGGGCACCACAGAGCATGCATATATGCCCGTCTATGATCTTGGTGTAGTGCAAGTAGTATCAGCATCAGTATCCGATGAGCGCGGATAATGAGCGCGGATAATTATCAGGCCAAGGCACTAAACAATTCCTGCCAGGTCTGCCTGGTGATGAAGTCCTTTGCCCCCAACTTTGTGTAGTTGGAATCTTGCGACATTGTAATTTTCTTGAAGGGTCAGTCACCCATTGCGACTACTGTAGTTGCTCCCTGGTAGAGGCCTTTCGTTAGTCTGAACGCTTGAGAATTGACGTTTTGGCGCATGTGGCTTTGCTTTTGCTCAGATTTGACCCATCGTGGTACCTCTGCTAGCTCGACGCCGCCCCCATATTGGGGAACGGCTCCTGATTATTAGGATGACTTTTCGGGGAGATCAAACTCAGTGCCGTGTCATGTATCATGTATCAATTAGAGTTATGTGTGGGTGATTTGCTGAGCGCCAGTGTTGGCCTTTTGCTCTAGCCTCTGGATATACATAGACGGAAAAGTGTGCCTTGGGACTGAGGAAAAAAAAACCAAAGGTGCCGCCCTGGTTAGCGCCTACCCTCGATTTGGTATGAAGGAACAACCCTTCCGCGATTCAAATACACACTACCTTATTAGGTAGGCGCGTTAACTTCCCGACCTAGTGATCGATGCGGGGGTCTTTCTTTTCCAGAGTCATAGAGAGTTGAGAGTCAGGATGGATGTCCTCTCTTTCTCCATCAAATCTTCTGACATTGAGTCGCTACAATCCAGCCAAATTGGACCAAGCCGACTACAGATTGTTCTACATAAACCAACTGCCTCTTTCATTGATGTTTGAGAACAGAAGATATTTATCTACGGTCCACTTGCAGCCATTACGCCTGTGCCCTCTACGATTCGGAGTACATGCACGATAGAGACCCGCCCGTTTGCTATAGCAATGATGGGAGTGGCGCCCTGCGACGCATGAAGACCCGGATACAGCCAGTTGTCGACAAGGGCGACCCTCCTCTTCATTCGCCCTGTTACGGATATAACATCAAGTTGTCTTAAGCCGTAAATCTGATATGGCCAAGCATGGGAAATGGCAAAGGCCACAAGGAAGCTGCTTAGGATGGGTCAACGACGAAAACGATAGGGGGTTCCAGAGAGTGGTCGGACCAGCCATCGCAGACCGCTACGGAATAAGATTTGCTCTTGGCTGTCAACATTGCCAATGTTTCCTAGCAAGTCCTTGGCACTTTCTACAGTCTGCTCTTTCGCTCAGCTCTCACGAGCACACATCCATGTGGTCCAAGCACTGATGTTTGGGCCCCGGTGAGCCTGGAAAAGCAATGTCTGGTTTTTCTCATCGAGAGAAAGACCTTATATTTAATTATCCGGGGGGGGGATGAATTCATGGCCAGAAGAACATTCTCATTGCTTTGCACTCTGTGAACAGTAGGAAGATCATTGGCCCTTGGGTAAATCGGTGTTATGCATTGGTCAGTAGGAACTTGCCCTTTGGCCCTCATACGGATTCCAGCCGAGCCTCCTACAGGCTGCTGGGATGGTAATTTTCTGACAGAAAGACTTAATAGAACCAACTATTCCGAATTGGAAAAGAGCAAGCCGAAAAGGGATGTTTGAAACATAACTCGCTCAAGGGGCCCCAGCGAGGTTTTAATTGTGATTATCACCCAGATCTTGCGATCATCATTACCCTCCGGCATTCGAATCTGCGCCTTGTCAACGATGCCGACGCTATCCCGACAAGCGTTGTCTTCGTGGTGTCGATCCGGCTCTTCGAGCACACGAAACAGTGTCTAGAACATGGGTTTCCAGGAAGCAACTCTCGCTCCGTGCACCACTTTCAACACTACAATACTCACGACTGTAAAATTACATTATTTTACGTAACCCTCAAGATACACGGTCCCTGTGCTCTTGCAACACAAGGCCTGTTCTTCTTTGTGCTGTCATCTAGCTCGCCCTGATACCCGAGATTGACGACCTGTCGATCACCACGGGGCTGGCAGGCGAGCTGACACAGACTTCGCCCACGTTACATACATGCTCGACTTCAATTGGGCTGCTGTGAGGTCACACTTTGCCAAACTTCCTTGTGTTTTCTGGAAGGCTAAATGTCCGCGAAGACAAGCAGGTCCTGGTTTGGGTTGCAGATATCGGACTGCCCGAGTTGGTGGTCGTGAGTCTGGAAAACACTCATTGCTCGTGAAGATTTGAAGGGGCATCAAGAATGAAAACTATGGGTTTACGGCTCCATGAATGTGGAAATCAAGCCATTCAGCGCTGACCTTGTTGCAGGGGTATGTCTCAGAATCTACCAGCATTCCCCAGCCCGCCTCAAAATATTCCCGGTCAACGACTGCAACCCCGACGGCACACCTGACTATATGTTCTTTGCTTCAGCTTTGATTCTTTATCAGTTGGATATTGTTCCATCAAATCTCATCTCGCATTCAAGATTAGCAAGTGGATTTAGTGATATTACAGCGAAAGAAGAGCCGATGGCGCTGGTTTGAGTTTGAGTTGTTTCCTGCCATCTCAAAGTCGTGTTTTCTTTCCCCGGACTGGCCCAAACCCATGATCACAAACGTCACTGAATGTATCCGTGTGTTCTAACATACAACCTTCCATAAGCATCACCGTCCAGGCAGCAGTTTTTAATCCATGCCCAGGGCGTGTATCAAGCCCGTACAAGTACGGACTACTGAGGTAATGATTCCAGCCCGTGATGCACGGCTCAACATTCTGTCTCGATCCCAGCTGTCTACTACACACTAGCAATACCAGAGAACAGGACCTTCCATGGTCGTGAATATTGCCCCCACGATCCATCATAACACTCATCGCAACCCACCAGTCACGTCGTACTCAGGTCATCACTAGAAA